AGATTCAAAGGCGAAATGGAAATTAGAAAATTTGTTTGTTTCTAATTTAGATATTTCATTTAAAGAATAATATCATACAATTCGATTTTTTTTGTTAAATTTAAATAAATAAAATTAGTGTTTTTTAACAAATTTTAATTTTTTTTATTAATTGTATATTTATAAATTTAAGTAAATACAATGGACAACAATGGACACCAATATTATATGTTCATTGCTTAATCAATAAACAATGGATAGCATTTTTTATCCAGTGTTGTTCATTGTCCATTGTCTAGTCATGACAACACTGCTATATCTTAATTGTTATTATAATAAATTGTATATATATATATATATATCGATAATATCTTTTTAATTCTAAAAGAAAATCAAGAACAAAGAGTGGTTTCAATCAAAAAAATTGCTAAAAAATAAGGTCAAAAGAAGAAGTAGTCTGTTATTGAAGATGATGATCAACAAAATATATCACCAGCTCCAAAGATAACTGCTAAATGTAATCAAAAAGATACTATCTGTAATGATAATACAATTCAAGAACTGACTGTTGTTAATGAAAGTTCAGATAAAGGTTTAGATGAAGAACTTAACGTTCAAAAATTAACAGTAGCTGCATATGCTTCGATTAATAAACTTCTAGAATTATGCGATGATAATGATGATCTTTTAGAAGGTAATTATTTAAAATAATATTTTAATAGCATAATTCAAATTTTATTCACATCTTTCTTGTTTTTACTTCTTAAGATAAAAGTCAGATTAATGAAAGTATCATAAATACCAAACGCAAACCTTTTATGTCAATCTCAAATAATAATAGAAACACATTGGATAAAACAATCAGATCTCACATAAATGTTTATCAAAATACATTGAATAGATTAGATAGCTCAAATGAAGCATCTGAATCTTATTATTATTTATATTTAAATAATACACTTTGTTCTTCTTATAATGATCGCCTAAATGATACAACTCTTTTCAATTATACACATACAAGGCTTAATAATTATGATAATATATTTTGATCAAATACACCTAATATATTTCATTCGAATACACCTTTAAATGATAATACTATTATTTGTTCAACTTTTGACCTTTTTAATGATAATATGTTTCATTTAGATAACACTACTTTTCAATCAAATGATACAAAATCTATACCTTTTCGTGGGATGGATAACATTTATCAAGCTTGTTTATGGTTATATAAGAACTCCAATGTCTTACTATTGGCTTATAATATATACTTATTGATGCAAGCATCAGTTGCAAATGGATTCAACTTTATTTCAGCAAACTTTAATTCATCCATATTGTTAACTATAATACTGCATATATAAGAAGACAAAGTATGGTTTAACAAATGATTTTTACTTTTTTTTAAATTATTTCATTAATTATTAATTAAATCATAAAATATAGATTAAATCAAATTGCAATTTTCTAGAAAAGATGAAATATTTATTCCTACGATTTTAAGACCCTGAGAAGAATGCTTTCGAAGACCTAGTATGACAAATTTTCAAGTGTGATCTAAACTTGGCTAAAGGTATTGATTGGTTGTAAGTAACTAATAGAAACTTTGGGGATTTTTGCAATAAATTTCTGAATAGTACTGAAGAAAATGTTAATAAAATCAAAGAAAAAAGGGCTAAGTAAGCATTTTTTTCATTTTAATTTCTTTAATTCATTATTTTAGCAATTTTTTTTGTATAATTTATTTTAATTAATTTCATATACAACTCATCCTTCACAAAGAGAAATAGTTTCATTGGTAGACGAACATATGACAATAAGCATCTTGCAAAGGTGGCTAAATGTGATAAATAATACTGAATTACAGGCTCAAAACATGATGCATCATTTACGTAAATTGATTATAAATGCCATAATGATTAATTATATTACAAGAGATACTGAAGGGATAAAAACTTTGAATAATATAACAAAAAACATAACAGTTCCATCCTGAAATAGCAGAAATATCACTAGCAATTTGAAATTGTGAATCAGGTATTCTATTATTTATTAATTTTATTATTAATGAATTTTATTTATAGTGTTATTGATATATTCATATCATTTCATTATTATAAACAAATATAGCGGTATTATTTAATTATAATAGTATAATGTATAATAAATGAATATATAATAGTTTCTAACATTTGTCATGATAATTATATATATAACAGCAATTTTTATTACCATTTTTTATTTATAATTTTATATTACAACAATATTAAAATTACAATAAATAATCACAATGAGAGATTCTTTATTAAAAAAAAAGATGTAATTTATTACAGTCAATTACTTTAGAAATCAGTAGATTCATCGTCAAATATTTTCTAATACATTGAAAAAAAATATTGAGGTTAACTTTTTCTAATAATTTTCGATGATGTTCATCATATATCTAATAGCATACTATAACTTCAAAAATATATTTTTTTGATAAATTCACAATTATGTTATGAGCTTATTTGATATTGCATTATCACATGTTAGACACTAAATTATTGTGATTTGATGACGATCACTTAATTATATGTTAACAAATCACAGGTTTTTGCAAAGTAATGTATAAATATTATTAAGTTAATTTGAATAATATAAAGTAAAGGTATTACTATAAAATTTATTTTTCTTTTAATAATTATAACATTCATTATTTTTAATGAGTTTGACTCAAAATAACAATAATAAATAAATAATAAAAAAATATTGCCTTATCTGATTGTATTAAAATTTGATATTAATATTTACATAATATTCATTAATTTATAATATATATATATAAGTACAAAGTAATATAATATAATCTCAAAGGTTTTTCTAAAGATAAAGTAATAAAAGATACTTCTTACTTCAGTTATATTATTATAAGATAGAAAAGAAACTTTATTAATTTTTTTCTTAACTATATTATCTAATAGTTCTTTTAATATAACTGTTCAATTATATTATTAGAAGTGATATTAAATTATTTAACCTAATAATATAAAAATATTAAGCATAAGTATAATTTAAATTACAATAAATAATATTCTAATAATTTATCTGATCAATAAAATCAATAAAAATTATTATTTCTTAATATAATATTGCTTGTTTCATTTGTGCTTATTAAAGAGATAATGGAATAAGTGTTAAATTAGTTTTTAGCAAATTATCAATCTCTTTAAATATAGTTTTATAGGTTGATAAAAGACCAAATGATAAATTAATTCTAATATAATCATTAATATAAGAATACTGTAACACATTTTCTAATTCATATTAACTACTTTTATTAATTCCTTTAATAAAATATCACAAATAATATTTTTTCAAAATTCTATTAATAAATTTAATATTTTGAGTATATTTAATATTTTCTATAAAGATATTTATAATTGAATATTTTGTCCAAAATGCTTAACTTGAATAAAGTTTATTTTTAAAATAAAAATTAAAAGTTTCATATTTAATTAGCATATTCTGATATCTTAATTTAAATTCTTAGCTATAGTTATATCTTATATGATAAAAATTTTCAATAAATTTTTTTACTAAATTATTATACAATTTAAATCTAGTTTTTTTCTTAATATTTTCAATAATATGATAAATTAATAACAAATAATATGCTTGGAATAGATAGCATAAATAGTAGTAATTACTGTAAGATCACTATCTGTAAAATTTATTTTAGGATTACATTATTAACTGAATTTAATATACATCTAAAAATTTATTTATAAGTAACTTGAGTATCATATCTAATTAGAGTCTAATTCTTATTTTAAAGTTATTATCAATACAAATAAAAGACTAAGAATTATATTATAATGATTTATTTTAATTGTATTATCATGAATAATCATATTATGAAATTTTAATTACAGATTATTGTATTATTAGCTAGTTATTTAAAAAAGACCTGTAAATTCATTATTTTGCACTTTTAAAATATATATAATAATATATTCTTAATCTTCATTATGCTATTTTAAGAAATATAATGATATTCAGCAGCATCAAATTCATTATGAATTCATATATCCCTAAACTTATTGATATTATTATACAAGATTTTCTTTTTAATATTATGTTTTAAAAATTTGCTAATAAGAAGGTTATTCTGTTGACCAGAATTTAAACAACCAGAAATAGTATAATGTTCAATTTTATCTGAGATTGCTTAAGAAAATTTCAAATTTTTTCAGAGCTAAATCAATAATCTCTGAATTGAATTGGTGATTATGAAAATCTGAAAACTTTGTATCTTTCAAAATAAAAATTCACATGCTTAAACAATTTATTTCTTAAAGCTTTATCATGATAAATACTAATATTCTCAACTTTTTTTATTTGATTTATGCCAAATTTTTAACAAATATATAATTCTTTGCAAATGCTTCAATGACAATATGAACAGAATTCCAATTATCAAATACATTTCCAACATGTAAAAGTTCTTCACTTACCAATTTTTCAATTATTATTTCCTTGTTCTATAAATAATGTATAATTATAAAAACTTGTTTCTAATTAAGGTTATATCACGATTATTTGATGCTAATTTCTTGAATATACCTTTTCCTGAAGTCCACTTGCTCAAATACAAATTTTCCAAATTAGATAATTTACTAAAAGTTCAATTTCTCAAATATCAATTTCTCGAAACTCAATTCCTTGAATTGCATATAATATCCATTTTTCTGAACATCAAATTTCAAAAATTCTAACATTCTAAATACCCAATTTCCTGAATCCCAATATACTGAATGTCCATATTTCTGAATTATCTTTTGTAAATTAATTATTAATAAAATATAATTACCTTCCACCATTGTAGTGGATCTACGGTTCCTGAAAACATTTGTACAGTACATTGCAGTTCAGAGTATCAAAATTTGGTCAATTCAGGAAAATATCCATTCAGGATATGGGGATTCAGAAAATTGGGTGTTCGGGATGTTAGAATTCGGGATTCAGGAAATTTGATTCAGGAAAATATTTATTCAGGAAATCAGAATTAGGGAATTTGACATTCGAGAAACCCGTCGAAACTGTCAAAATTATCTATAAAAGTTTCGACATTTGCCCAAATTGATTTAGGTTTTGCCCCCACAACCTTATATGTAGGGATGTTGAGCGGTCCTTAAGCGGTCCTTACGATTTAAGAGATTACTAATTCTAGAGAAGTCTAATCACTTATCTATATTAAGTAACCCCATTAAAAAATGTCATAAAAATTTTATAATTAATTTGTAAAAAGTTGGCAATTTTATGGGACAGCTAAGTATAGGAACGGTCCTTGGGACCGGTCCTAAATCCTAAATTTTAAATTTTAAGAAATTCTGTATTCCAAGAGGGCTTATTATATATTTTCATTTAGTACCTCATTAAAACATTATAATAGACAAGTTTAATAATAAATTATAAATATAATTCTTTGTAATTTTCTTGGGAATTTTAGGACTGCTTAGGACGCTTAAAATTCCTACTTACATGTGAACATAAATAAAATTGATCGCATAATCAAATCTGCTTCCAGAAAAGAATTTGCACTGAGAAGTAAGCTCATTAGTCGAACTTCCTTAACGATTAATTCATTGTTTAAGAAATTTCATGTTAAAACACCTCATCTTCGTTATATTGTCTATGTTAAAAATTACTCTCACTAAAGTTGAGATAATAATAGATAAATTCTAATAACATTTAGGTTTATTTCGCTTTGAATATTATAAAGTGAAACAACTTGACACTGTTTATATGAAAATAATTAATTATTTAAGAGCATTTATTAAAAAATTTTTAACATAGCGATAAAATAAATTTTCAATGACGATATTGATTTCTTGAGAAAGGTTTTAAGAGATATCAATTCCTATATTTTCACGGTGGGATTACGCCCGAAAATGGTATAAATTGAGAAGGTTATTCAAAGTTTGCTATAAGAACGACACAAAGTTAAAAATTCTCTATAAGTTTTCAATTCTTTACAGGAGCAATGTTCGAGAGAATGAGAATTCCAATTTGAAAATAATAATTTGTCAATTGATTATCAGATTCTATAAACATAGAAATATTAAATTCTAACTTATTTATTGTATGATATTTTGTATATTCAGTATTTTTATTTACCTCCAAAATATTACGAATGGATTATTTGAAGAATACGATTAGAAACAACTGCAAAATTGATTTCTTAAACTTTTTGTCACTTATATCTAATATTTATCTCAGAGATTTATACTATTTTGATTCTTTGATTTGATTTAAACTTCGAAATTGTCCAAATAAAGAGAAAAAAATCTTTAAATATAGTTCGAGATTCGGATTGATTAATAAATTTTTTGGTCGCTAATATTAGTCAAATAAATGTAATCTTCATGAGATAGGAAATTCTTAAACGATCGCGTGGAACTAGTGCTTAGAAATTGTTGAATTGAACATGGTTGCCCGCGCAACTTACGTTATGACATATTGACTTTCGTTTGAAATTTTGTTCGTAGACTTCTCTGTAACAATTTAAATTTCATATTTATGTATTTATAAACAATTTTGTAAGTAAACAGAAGTTTTTATTGAATAAAAATGAAGTTATTATGACAAAATATTTATTTAATAATATAGAATTAATTAGTGTTGCCTCAACTTCGGCGCTCTACACTTTCGCAATGTCAATATATTAAACTAAGTAAATGCCAATCAATAAATTCTAATTAATTAAATAAAATAATAAGTGAATCGGAAATTAAAAATAAACGAAGTTACGAATACGAAATCTAAAAAGTTAAAACGGCAAAAGCGAAAAGATCGCGAAGGGGTTACATACATACTACGTTATTTAACATTGCGTTGCGATCCTTTCAATCCAATAATACATTACAATTACTCTTATAATTTTTAATTTTTTATTAAAAAAATGTATTCAATTCAAAAAAGAAGAAACTGAAAACGAAACAACATTTGAATAACATTTGTATAAATAAAATAAAATAAGAATCCACGCATGACCATACCCCCGCCAGCAAATTCCACATGGAATTTTGATTCATGATTAATTAAATATTATTTAGTAGAACAGAGGCTTTCGTTTCGCAATTTGTTAACAGTTCTCTGAAACAATCTTCTTACTAAAATAAATCAAATTCAAAAGCAAATCTTCTAAAGTTAGCCGCTCATAAAAGATTGTCGTCCCGATTAAGAAAAATATTAACTTTCATTTTTTACACTTAATATTTTTGCATTTTCATCAATAGAGAAACTTTTAATTCTTTGCTTCTATATATATATTCAGAGAATTTTTTAAATATACTAATATATCTGTTGGAAATACTTTAGTATTTGGTCGCTAGAGTTCTAATTTGGATACAAATCTAATTCAATTTATTTTAATTAAATCAAAAGAAAAGAAAATTTCTACTAACCTGACAAATTAGATCTACAAATCGGTTGTAAGTGTTATCAAAAATTCAAGAAAAAGATCAAAGTGTGCTATTTAATTGCGGCGGAAATGTCGTATTGTATTCTTTAGTTATGAGACGTCGTCATGTTCATCTCGGACTTTTTAAGATCCGGGATAGACAGGACGGCGCCTCATATTCTAGTAAATTTACATAAAAGAAAATTAAAAAAGATGCAATAAAAATAGCAGCTAACTTTTTTAGGAAAGTAACATATGATCCAAAATAAGAACCGGTTAAACTAGAGTATTTATGGAAATTCATTTACAAATGGAAATATTTAACCGAGGGCTGAAAAATAAAGATTGAAATCTCTTTTGCAGAATTTTTTTTTTCTAAGAACAAAAATTTGGCATAAATTATTTGATTTATTAACGTAATAGTCACCAGAATATATTATCCTAAGATTTAAGCGCAAAAAATGGTTTTAAAAAATAATATAGAAAAAATTCTAAGAGACTTGGAAATTAGAATTAAAGAATTAGAGC